TTCCTTCCTTCCTTCCTTCCTTCCTTCCTTCCTTCCTTCCTTCCTTCCTTCCTTCCTTCTTTTTCTCTCCCTCCCTCCCATCTTTTTGCTTTCTTTCCACCTCTCCCCTTCCTTCCTTTCTTCAAAAATGTAGGCTCGCTTACAACTTTAATCCTAGTAGGTCTTTTGGCTCACAAAACTCCTCAGCTTAGAGCAAACATTGCTCATGAGCCAGGTTTGGTTGGGAGACAGCCAGTCTTATTTAGGCCCTGCCAAATTTTAATCAAAATATGTTAAAAAGTTTGAAAGTGCAAAGAGACTGGGCAAATTGGTCACAGTTTTACTTGTAAAAAACACTTGTAAAAGAAGTACAGTGTTTTCTGGCTCTAAGATGGAGATTCTATAGTCAGATGTTACACATTACTTATATTTAAAGTGTGTATGTACATATCATTATGTTCTGTGGTGTCTGGGTGCATGTGTTCTCTAATTGACCTATTGTGAAGATGTCACTTTCTACAGCATATAATACCTTTCTAGGGTCTGGACCACAAGATTGAAGTAGCCCCACAATAATACAGAAATTCTGCGGTAGAGAATCAAAGTTTTCAGTTTTGATTAACACTTGTGAAAAGGGAATGGGGTTAAAGAGACTTGGTCTAAATACTTTACTATTAATTCCAAATTTAACTCAGGCTGCAGTCCTCTGTACACTTATTTGGGTGAATGCCCTGTTGGGACCAGTGTGATTGACGTCCATTGTAGTAGGTATAGACTTGGTTGTATGAGGAACTTAATAGAATTTCTTGACTTTTAAACAATAAAGCTAAACATTCTAGGGGGCATTAGAATGTATATGTGGTTGAAATAATGCCATTGATGTTTGTAAGTTGTATCTGTTCCTTTTTTAAAGGTGGCTATCATCCAGTAAAAATTGGAGATCTTTTCAATAGCCGGTATCATGTTATCAGAAAATTAGGATGGGGACACTTCTCTACAGTCTGGCTATGCTGGGATATGCAGTAAGACATATTTTTGTTAGATTTCTAATGTATGTTAATGGTGCTTTATTAATTGCCAAGAACATATCTGAGGCTACACAAATATTTGTCCACCTGTTAAAAATAGTGTTATATAGGGATATTAATACAATCATATTTTTTGTTTTCAGTATATGTTTGATGAAACTTGTAAAACATAAAACCTTTTTATTGAATTTGCACATTTCATTGAGTGTATCAGAAAGCTAATGCAGGCTTTGAGACATTTTCTAAACCTAGCCTAACTTCTCCCAGTTTCTCATTATTCCATTATTGCTTTAAAAGCCAGCATAGAAAACAACAAGAAATTAATTCCTCCACCAGTATTGAATGGTATAAAGTTAGTTTACACACAAATAAGTAATAAAGACATTCATGATAAATTTTTTGGTCCTAAAACATTCTGATGTGAAATGATAAAGAAGCTTAGGCTTGGATCCAGCCAACATTTTGGCTCAGTCTTGGCTAAATCCTCTCTTTATTGGAGCCCCTGTTCCACATGGCTTTTGTCCATTCAGGTCCAGTGATCCCGAACATAGCCTTTTTGGTTTTGAAAGGGGATCCCTTCCTCCCTTCCTCACTAGCAGAAGAACTGCTTGGCTCCAAGCCATTGTATTTCCACTGAAAATTGCTAAGAGATGCTACAATAATATCACTGCTGAAAATAGTAGGCTCCAAAATGGAATTTTTAGGCGCTGTGGCAACTGCATGCCTGATACCTGTTGAGATAATGTGTCTTGTAAAGGACAAGCATATTACATATTTCTTTAGTTCTTCAAAAACTCTGCTTTGAATCTTAACTCCTGAAGAGAGACTGAAGAGATGTCATTCAGTCAATGAATATTGTTGAAATAATTGCCAGGATTAGTTTTCAGCTCGCAGTTCTGGAACAGAAAAGCATTTCATTAAATTAATGTTATAAAAAGAAAACATTTCCTCCTACAACAGGTTTAGAATTTAAAAATGCATTGACTCTGTCATGTTGTTCACTTGCTTGTTTGTTTTTAAAGGGGAAAAAGATTTGTTGCAATGAAAGTTGTAAAAAGTGCTCAGCATTATACAGAGACAGCCTTGGATGAAATAAAGTTGCTTAAATGTGTAAGTATTATAACCACACCTCATGCTTAATGACTGACAGCGAACTGAATCATTATACAAATCTATAATTTTGTAATTAACTGTCCATTTGGCATTTTGTAAAGCAGAAGATAGCAAAAATTATAATTGCAAGACATTTTATTTTCTTAGCTCCTAAATATCCTTAAAATAAATTATTAAAATTTATTTTCTGATAATGATGTTGCTTTGAGTCTATTTAAAAATAAAGGGTTTGTGGGGGGGGCTTTTTTTTTTAGGTTCGTGAAAGTGACCCTATGGATCCAAATAAAGATATGGTTGTTCAGTTAATTGATGACTTCAAAATTTCTGGCATGAATGGAATACGTATCTTTTTTCCCTGATTACTTAATACCTTGTATTTAAAAAACACACAAACCTTTTTGAAGTAGAATTTAATTTTTAAACATTAATATTACTGCTTTAATGTGCTACAGCAAAAGAAGTAGGTACTGAAAAGACACTTTAGATGTTCAGAATGGTGTGTTATGGCAGGCTGGGAAGTCATGTTTATTTGAGAGGCACTTAAGTGCTTACTGGTCCAAGTGTAACTTTATGGTGCTATCTGGTCAGAAGGCGCAATTTGCTTTGTCTTTTAATAGTACATGTCTTTTGTAACAATCATCTGCATAGTTTCAACCTGGGTAACAGCTTTGCTCTTCGAACTAATGTGTACTTAAGAGGGCCATTATATAGACAGATTAGGGATGGACATGAACCAAATTATGAACTGAAATTCGTCATGAACCAGGTCCGGTTTGTGATTTTTGAGCCTTGGTTCATGTAATTGAATCTCCCATGAACTGCCCACAAACCAAACTGTTTTTCATGGAAGTTCATGAGATTCGTGGGAATGGTTCGTGGGCCAGACATGCTGGCACTGATGAATCAATTGTCCAGGCAATGCGGGAGATGGGCTTCTGCAGCCCTTCTACAGCCCTGGAAACACCTATAGTGCTCCTCCACAGCTTGATAGGCAGCTGTGGCTGCCAACCAGCGAGCTCCCATTCTGCTCTAAGCCTCCAGCTTGCAGGGGGTCTGTTTGACACATTCCTGAACCTATGGCTGCTGTGATTTCCCCATAGAGCACTTTCCTGGAGCACCTGCTTTGGGGGCTGAGTATCCAAAGCCAATCTGCACACAACATGGAAGGCGGGTAGAGGGGCATCCCGGGGAGGTCCGCTGTGAGTTTGATGCCTCTAGCTTGCAGGGGGGCCATTCGACAAACTGCAAACCTGCTGCTGTGATTTCCCCAGAGAGCACTTTCCTGGGGACACCTGTTTGGGGGGCATTAACTCACACACACCCCAAATCCAGTCCTCACCAAAATTGGAGGGCAGGTACAGGAGAGTCAGCTGGAGACTTGCTGTGAGTTTGGCATCACTAGCCCATGGGGGGGGAGTGTTTTACCATGTCACGGACCTCACGAACCGGTTTGTTAAACAGGAAGGTTCATGGAGACCCCCACGAACCTCCATTTTCCCAGTTTGTTCCCATCCCTAACTGGGACTGGCCTGCTGCAGAGCTTTTTTTCTAGCTGTGGCTCCTATATGGCACAGATCAGGAAAGCCCCCATATTGTGTTTCGATGGCAGTGTACAGTGGAATTATTTAGATAGGCTTCTAGTTTATGAAGGCTTCCTGATTACTTAAAGTTGCTTTAACTGTCTTATATGTAGATTTTGTTTGATTGTGGTGCATTTTAAAAAACACTGCAACCTGCCTTGAATCCCTTTTTGGAGAAAGATGTGCTAAACATTTCTTAAATAAAATAAGAAAAAAGATTCCCAAGAATGTATTTCCAGTACTATGACCTTTGATTTGTACTATATCCTATTAGAACCCTTGGATTATATACACTTATCTCTAGCCTACCGGTTGGAATTTCCAGTTTTGATAGGTCCTGTTTCAGGAGTGCAATTCTATGAAGACTTACTTCAGTCTCAGTCTGTTGATTTCAGTGGGCTTAAACTGGAGTAACACTGTATAAAATTACACTGTGTAAGCTTCTCTTCCTCCATCCACATGAGGGTATTCGCAGGTTACTGATGGTTAAGTGTGAAATACCAGACTTGTATGGTGAGGATTGGCTTGGTCTCTGAATCTCAGTTAACATTACTTCTATGCTAACTGTTGCATACATATTTCTCCATTACAATAGTAGAATTTGCATACTGTTAAGTTGATTTGCCTGGAGTAATTACACTTGTGGTTTCTAAAGAAATTTAGCAAAAAAAATCTGCCAAGTTATCCTTAATTGAATATCAGATGTTTGTATGGTTTTTGAAGTACTTGGACATCATCTTTTAAAATGGATAATCAAGTCCAACTACCAGGGTCTTCCTATCCACTGTGTAAAAAGTATAATCAAACAGGTAAGATACATTCATATTTAATGCTGTGTTCCTGAAAATGTGTCAGTACTGTTGATCACAGCTGCCTAGTTCAGGTTCATATGACTATCTTTTCAGAAGTCCTAGTCTGCATCTGCATGCAGTGCCTGTAGTTATTTATTCTTATCACCTTGCTGTTACAGTGTTTGAATCATGCACCTGAACAGTTCAAGCACAATCCTTTAGTGCCATTTGTGCATCTTGCATCAAGACTTATGAATACCAAGCTGCAGGAAATTAGATATCCTGCATTTCACAAGGAGTCAGCTGCTAAAGCTCAACCATTTACTTTGTTGAAATGTACTTTGACAACGGAGCTGCACTGGCTCAAGTGGTTAAGACGCTGAACTGCAGGCTGTGGAAGGTCAGTAGTTCAGCAGTTCGAGACCCGAGTTGCCGCATGATGGAGTGAGCTCCCGTCTCTAGTTCCAGCTCCTGCCAACGTAGCAGTTCGAAAGCAAGAAATTGCAAGTAGATAAATAAGTACCACTTCAGTGGGAAGGTAACAGAGTTCCGTGCGCCTTGGTGTTTAGTCATGCCAGCCACATGACCACAGAAACGTCTTTGGACAGCGCTGGCTCTTCGGCTTTGAAATGGAGATGAGCACTGCAACCCAAGAGTTGGACTCGACTGGCTTTCGAGCAAGGGAACCTTTACCTTTACCTTTTACTTTGACAAGAGTCCTTCATCCTTTGTGCAAGTTCAGTGGGCATAGTCTAACCCCCCCCACCCCCCGTTTTGGCTAATCATTTTAAAATGACTTCCTTGAGGGAAGTTCTGTTGGCAAAAGTGGAATGTGTGCTCGTTTCTGGTGTTCACGGTCTTGGAGATTATTGTCTGCTGGAAGTTATCGGTTCAGAGGTCCTAGTGATTTTTTAAAATTAATTTTTGGCGTGGGGTGTCATCATTTGGATTGTAACCACAGCTTGTCAAAGGGGAGATTTAATAATTTTGCCCACTGCCATTTTCCCAACCTGAAGTAGTCTTGGGGAGACACTGTGTGCCCCATTGTAGTAAACTGGTGAATAAACATCTGCATGAAAATTACAATTAAAAAGAGTACCTAGCATGAAACTCTCAGTATGCTTGCATTTAACATTTCAGATGCTGCCCATTGTCCAATTTAATTAATGTAAGAACATACGAAGAGCTCTGCTGGATCAGATGAGTGGTCCATCTTGTCCAAGGGGTATGACCAAGGGGTAAAAGGAGTACTGAAGGATGATAGGGAAATGGCTGAGAAGCTAAATGCATTTTTTGCCTCCGTCTTCACTGTGGAAGATGAGAGGTGCTTGCCCACTCCAGAGCCGCTGAGTTCGGGAGGGGTGTTGAAAGACCTGAGTCAGATTGAGGTGACGAGAGAGGAGGTCCTAAAACTGATAAACAACTTAAAAACTGATAAATCACCAGGCCCAGATGGCATACATCCAAGAGTTCTGAAAGAACTCAATTGTGAACTTGTGGATCTCCTGACAAAAATATGTAATCTCTCCTTAAAATCAGCCTCCATTCCTGAGGACTGGAAGGTAGCTAATGTCACTCCCATCTTTAAAAAGGGTTCAAGAGGAGATCCGGGAAATTACAGGCCAGTCAGTCTGACGTCGATACCGGGTAAATTGGTGGAAACCATTATTAAGGAAAGAATTAGTAGGCACATAGATGAACAAAACCTATTGAGGCAGACTCAACATGGGTTCTGTAAGGGAAGATCTTGTCTCACTAACCTGTTAATGTTCTTTGAGGGGGTGAACAAACATGTGGACAAGGGGGATCCAATAGATATTGTTTACCTTGACTTCCAGAAAGCTTTTGATAAAGTTCCTCATCAAAGGCTCCTAAGCAAGCTCAAAAATCATGGGATAAAAGGACAAGTCCTTTTATGGATCAAAAACTGGCTAATTAATAGAAAACAGAGAGTGAGTATAAATGGGCAGTTCTCCCAGTGGAGGGGTGTAAGCAGTGGGGTACCACAGGGATCAGTACTTGGTCCACTGCTTTTTAACTTGTTCATTAATGATTTGGAGTTGGGAGTAAGCAGTGAAGTGGCTAAATTTGCGGATGATACGAAGTTGTTCAGGGTGGTGAAAACCAGTGAGGATTGTGAGGCACTCCAAAGGGATCTGTCAAAGTTGGGCGAGTGGGCGTCAACATGGCAAATGGGGTTCAATGTGGCCAAGTGCAAGGTGATGCACATTGGAGCCAAAAATCCTAACTATAAATACACGTTGATGGGGTCTGAACTGGCAGAGACAGATCAAGAGAGAGATCTTGGAGTTGTAGTAGATAACTCACTGAAAATGTCGAGACAGTGTGTGACTGCAATAAAGAAGGCCAATGCTATGCTGGGGATTATTAGGAAGGGTATTGTAAACAGATCAGCCAATATCATAATGCCGCTATATAAATCAATGGTGCGACCTCATCTGGAATACTGTGTGCAATTCTGGTCACCACACCTTAAAAAGGATATTATAGCTTTGGAAAAAGTGCAGAAAAGAGCAACTCGAATGATAAAAGGGTTGGAACACTTTCCCTATGAGGAACGGTTAAGGCGCTTAGGGCTCTTTAGCTTGGAGAAACGACGACTGAGGGGTGACATGATTGAGGTTTATAAGATTATGCATGGGAAAGAGCAGGTAGAGAAAGAGGTACTTTTCTCCCTTTCTCACAATACAAGAACCCGTGGGCACTCCATGAAATTGCTGAGCGGTCGGGTTAGAACGGATAAAAGGAAGTACTTCTTCACCCAAAGAGTGATTAACACTTGGAATTCACTGCCACAGGAAGTGGTGGCAGCTACAAGCATGGACGGCTTCAAAAGGGAATTAGATAAGCATATGGAGCAGAGGTCCATCAGTGGCTATTAGCCACAAGGTATAGATAGGGACTCTGGGGCAAGTGATGCTCTGTCATCTTGGTGCTTGGGGGGGGTCAACAGTGGGAGGGCTTCTAATGTCCTGGCCCCACTGGTGGACCTCCTGATGGCACTGGTATTTCTGGCCACTGTGGGATACAGAGTGTTGGACTGGATGGGCCTTTGGCCTGATCCAACATTGGCATCTCTTATGTTCTTATGTTCTTATGTTCTTATGTCCAGCATCCTGTATCACACAGTGGACAACCAGTTCCTCTGGAGGGCCAACATCAGGGGATGGGGGCCAAGGTCTTCCCCTGATGTTGCCTGCAGGTATTGGGATTCAGAGGTTGACTGCCTTTGTATGTGGAGGTTCCCTTTAGTCACCAATGTGAGATAAAAGTAACTAAACACACATGAATGGTTTTTTCTTGAAAATAGTCCCTTTTGTCACTGTAAGGGAATATATTTTCAGCACAGCTGATTGAAGTACATTGTCAAACATAAGTGAATTGTTAGAGTTTAAAATATAAGGTTATCAGACAGCTTTATTTACTCCTTTTAAAAATCCATTAATAAATGCTCCTCCTGTTTTGTTCTTCATAAGAAAAGACATTTTAGTTTTTAAGTAGCGTTTGCACTAGTTTTTTTTAACCACCTCCCTTTCCCAAAATTTGTGCTACAGAATATATATGTTTCCAAAATACATCATTTGGGAAAACTTGTTGCAGAAGGAATACCTATCTGACAGTAAGGTATGAAAGGTTACATTTATAAAATATTGAGAAAATCTTAGTCTGTAGGAGGAATAATATAATCCTCAATTGCATTTCATGGTGTATGTGTGTCCATTCTTGATATAATCTATTATAAATACACTTTTTATTGATCTTTTTGAGAGGTACAATAATAGGTAATCCTGACCCATGGATCAAGAAAAGAATAGCTAGAAAAAAAATTCTCCCCAGTTGAAATGAGAAGCAAGTCCTCTCAATTTACTTTGAATTTGTTTTTCTCAATAAACTTGGTCCAAGCTTTCTGTCCCAGTCTAATAGATAAAAGAAACAAGGAGGAGAACGGAAACTTAACCCCTCCAAAATGAATTACGAACCAAAAAGGTTAATTAGATACGAAATAAGGGGCCCAATATTAATTTCAATAAAACAAAAATATATAAATAATACAAATTATACAAAAATACATGTATGTATTACAGATTGGTTTAAAAACAATTATAGACCCAAATATAGTTTCAATAAGAATACAATTCATACAATATTTCAAAATTAGGACCCTAAAACAGAAGCATTTCGGCCTACTGGCCTTCAGTGGTCAAGCATAAATGTTACACATAGGCTCAATTATTGTAATAATAATATTAACACTATATAGAAACAAGTGAGAATTATGATCTGATAGGTATCAGTGACTCAAGGCAAGGATGTCCAAATCAGATACATGTTATCTGGGTGGTATTACAATTAGGTACCTTCCTAGTGTGGTCCAATTTGAAAAGCAATATGGAGCCAGTGTAACCTAATAGTATGTCCCTCCTACTTCTTTCATCATATCATATTCTCTTGCTTCCTATCTTTGCTCTTTTTCTCCAGGTACTGGCTCTGAAGTAGTGTCTCTAATTTCTTCAGTTAAATCCACAGTTTGTCATCTTAATCTCATTCCTCTTGCTTCTTTCATTCTTTCTCATCCAGATCTTCACATTCATTCTTCTGTTCTTGGTCCTTTTTCCTAAAAACATGGTAATTATTCACATCATTCTTGAAACCAAACCCCTTCTTGGATCCCCACACCCTCTCTACTTATTGTCTCATACCTCTTGTTTTATTTTCAAACTTTGTGATCTAGTTTCAGTGCCTCAGTATTCTTTCTTCACACTCCTCTGTCGATCCTTTTTAGTTTTTTTTTTTTGACCTCAGCATTTCATTGAGACTCCTTTATGTAAAATCTGAGGTCTATTTTTATTTCTTCTCTTTGATTTTTAATCAATTTTGGATGAAAAAGTTGATACACACAGGGCTTTTTTTGTAGAAAAAGCCCAGCAGGAACTCATTAGCATAATAGGCCACACCCTGACAGCACAGCTCATTAGCATATTAGACCACACCCCATGCCTTCCCTTGGCTTGCCCGGGTGCCCCACGGCTGCAGGGAGCCCTGGCAAGCCCCCCCAGGAAGGCTGCAGGGAGCCCGGGCAAGCTGGCCCTTGGAGGGGAGGCAGTTTAAACTGCCTTCCCTTGGCTTGCCCGGGTGCCCCACGGCTGCAGGGAGCCCGGGCAAGCCGGCCCTTGGACAGGCCAGGGAAGGCAGGGGAGGTATTTAAATGCCTTCCCGATCCTTCCAGCCCCCCCGGCCCACCCGCTTGGGAGTTGCCAGGGGGGTCGCTTTCCAGGCCTTCCATCTGTAGCCACGCATGAGGAGGTTTTGGCTGTAGTGGGCATGGCCAACTCTGAAGCCAGCCGGAACTCCGTGCCTGTGTGTTCCTGCCCAAAAATAGCCCTGAATACACATATAGTTCTTTTCATTCTCAGATATTTGTTGATACCATTGCCTCTTAGTTCCACTCCTTTCTTGAATTGTTTTAACATTTTTATCCATGGTACTTTTTCTTTCCAGTTTTCTGTGATTTTTCAAGGCTTTGATCTTGCACCTCTTCTTTTTAGTCTGTACT